CAGATAAGAGACAAAGAAACACAAATACAACTTGAGTTACTTCGTACTTGCCTTTGATAGGTAAAACATCTGCAAGTTAACTCTAAAGAGGCACCTGAGTGTGTTGCATTATGCAACTACCAACGCTGAGAAAACATCTCCCTCCCTGCAAACTCACACACACATTGCAGGTGCCTTTGTTCCTGTCTCCAGCTACTCATTCCCAAGATTTACGCTGCAACGTAAGCCACCCCTCCCAACCCTGCCAGGAATTCTCACGACAAACACTCTGCTTATTTTTTTTATGGTGTTTTGTGAAACGATTTGCGGGTATTTCCCAACCGTTCCTTCCGTGCTGACGAGGAACTGCGCTGAAACACGTCTTACAGTGTTTGTTTATTGGGGTTTTTTTGTGGTTTTTCTCTCTCTTTTTTTTTTTCTAATAGCAAACAATTTCCCAAATACAACACTTACCAAGTCATTCTCTACTAAGAAGGAAGAAAGATCCACCAAAACCCACGTTGGGATCATGAAGAACACAGCGTGGCACCCAAGGATGTTCAGCAACCGCAGATGGTGTATTCGGGAATCTCTTAACACCTGACAAAAAACACCACTCAACAGCCTTTCTTCAGCTACTGCCCCATTTTCAGTGGAGATTTAGAAGCCATATCACAGATAAATTATGAAAATAAGTAAATACTGTCACAGCATGAATTTCCCATAAGAATGACCAAAGGAAAACAGATGTCCATTGGAAAAACAATGGTTTCTTGAGTGCTGACTCTCAGCATTAATACAATATTAATACATCTTACATTCTCTACAAACCAGAAATCATTTTGTAACTAAATAGCTTCGAGGTGTACACTTTAACTTTGTTTCTAACATTTCAAGGAATGCCTAATTCCTTGACACTGACTCATTCACTACAGAGAAAGGATTTGATACAGCACCACACGTTAAAAGCTTTCAAATGAGCCGGTAAATTTAAGTACCATTGAACTGTCAGCAGAAAAATAAATCCGTGCTGAGGAGTAAAGCAAAGGCACTGGATAAACTCTGAGTTCTGCCCAATTTTCAGGAGAACAACTCCGACAGGCAGGAAGAGCTGCAGAGAACAGGCGTGCGAAACAACCAACCATTACCTTGACTATAAAGTCCACTTACAAAACCCCAACAAATGTACTGGAAAGTCCACCCTGTCCTGCTAAAGGATGATGCTACTGGTTACCTTGGGCTCCTTTGACTATAAATTCCACTTAAAAAAATCCAACAAACGTACTGGAAATACACCCTGTCCTGCTAAAGGATGATGCTACTGACCCATGACACCAACAGCACAACCATTACCTTCTTTGAGAAGATGTTCTGAAGTGAAAAACACAGAGTAGCAGCAAGTGCACTGATGAGTCCCCACATGTCAAAGGAAAGTTCCGTGACGGTGGCCAAGAGGACACCGGTTATTATGGGGATCAGAGACAAGTACACCTGGAAGAGGAACAGAGAGGAGCAGCTGTCATCCTCTAAGAATTCTGATCTGGGGAGGGGAGGAGAAGGAAGAATAAAGCTACAGAACCAGGGATCAACTTTTATATTACAGAATCACAGAATCTTCTAGGTTGGAAGGGACCTTAAAGATCATCTTGTCCAACCGTCAACCCAACTGACAAAAATAGACACCCACACAACAAACAAGGAGCATCATCACTAAACCAGACCTCCCAGCACTACATCAACCCCTCTTTTGAACACCTCCAGGGATGGGGCCTCCACCACCTCCCTGGGCAGCCCATTCCAATGGCTGAGAACCCTTTCAGTGAAAAAATTTTTCCTAATATCCAGCCTGAACCTCCCCTGGAGCAACTTGAGGCCATTTCCTCTCGTCCTGTCGCCTGTGACTTGAGAAAAGAGACCGACCCCATCTCTCTACATATTATTGTAGTTTGAGGAAATGAAGTGATGACAATCGACACTATCACCACCCCAGTGTATCGGAGAGCGTCACCTTGCTCACTGCTTACATCTGATGTCTTGACGTTCACAATAAAAGAGAGAAGAACTCGTAAAATCTGCACAATGTCATTTCAATCACAACATTCACCCAGGTAATGGAAGCCAGCAGAGCACACCACCACCTCCTCCACCACCACCAAGAGAAGAAACCACAGCAAACCTGTCCGCACCTTCGTCGTCTGCTTTTCCTTCATGATGATGCGCGAAAGAAGAACCACCCAAATCGGCATCGTCGCTTTTACTGAGAATGGAAAGAAAATATCAGTGGGGACACAAAGTTTGGGCCAGCTCCATTAACCATTGTCAGCAGAGGGTGAGTGCTGGGGATGGAGGGGGGGCTCATGTCCTGTCCCACCAAAACCATAACTACAGCCCACCCCGGGCTGTCCCTCCTTGTCACCGTGCTGGGGACAAACACGGGCTGGTTCTTGGTGCTCTGGGACACTGCACCAGCCGTAGGGGCACAGGACACTGCACTGGGCACCCTTAGGGGCACACAATGGGACATGGGGCATCTCACCAGGCACCCACAGTGGCACAGGACATGGCACGGGGCACCTATATGGGTACAGAACACCTTAGTGGGCTCCCATAGGGACACAGGACACGACTCTGGGTGCTCATAGAGCCACATATCGGGACACAGGACACCTCACCAGGCACCCGTTGGGGCACAGGACATGATTCTGGGCACCCATAGGGACCCAGGACAATGTGCTGGGCACCCATAGGGACACAGGACACAGCACTGGGCACACGTAAGGATACAGGACACCATAGTGGGCACCCACAGGGACACAGGACATGACTCTGGGTGCTCATAGAACCATATATCGGGACACAGGACACCTCATCAGGCACCTGTTGGGGCACAGGACACAACTTTGGGCATCCACAGCAACACAGGACACCCTACTGGGCACACATAGGGGCACAGGACACAGCACTGGGCACACATAGGGGCACAGGACACAGCACTGGGCACCCGTTGGGGCACAGGACACGACTCTGGGTGCTCACAGAGCCACATATCTGGACACAGAACACCTCACCAGGCACCCGTTGGGGCACAGAACATGATTCTGGGCACCCACTGGGACACGGGGCACTGCACTGGGCACCCACAGGGACACAGGACACTGCACTGGGCACCCATAGTGACACAGGACACTGCACTGGGCACACGCGGTGGCACAGGACACGACTCTGGGTGCTCATAGAGCCACATATCGGGACACAGGACACTTCACTGGCCACTCATTGGGGCACAGGACACAACTCTGGGAACCCACAGGGACACAGGACACCTTAGTGGGCACCCACAGGGACACAGGACACCTAACTGGGCACATGTAAGGATACAGGACACCGCACTGGGCACCCATAAGAGCACAGGACACCCTACTGGGCACCCATATCGGCACAGGACACTGCACTGGGCACCCACAGGGACACAGGACATGACTCTGGCTGCTCACAGAGCCATGTATTGGGACACAGGACACCTCACCGGCCACCCGTTGGGGCACAGGACACGGGCTTGGTGCCACCGCTACAAGCACACACCGGGGCCCAGGTCAGCGCACCGGCCCC